TATGGAGTGTAGGACCCAAGAGCATGAAACGGTGCTGCCCATAGGTAGAGCAGCTTTGTCTACCCCAGTTGAGCTCATCTGGAGAATCTCTCCAAAGCTTGTTTGTCAGTCATCCGAGATCCTGTCAGGAAATTTGTCAGGGCTCACCAAGTCAGTGAGTCATTAGCTCATACTTTCTTGTCTTAGGTATGCAAGTATGACACACCAGGGTCTTGGGCACGTGCCAATGATAGGCAAAGTCTGAGGACAGTCTAACTTTTCTTTGTATAAGTCATTTGATTTTTCTGGATTTTGATTTTGTGTAGATGCCCAGTTAACTTTACTTGAATGTATCTCAGGTGTCATTTACTTTAGGATTTCTGATATTTTCTTACGTCATTTAGATGTTTTTGTTTGTATGTCAGAAGTCTTCCAATTACTGTTTGTTTTATTTCTCCTAGTTTTTCTTTGAACTTTCTCTTTTCCATGTGGTATCTTTTCATTATATTAAGTATTTACCACTTCCTTCAATGTTTTTCTATTTTCCATTTCTTAAATTTCTAACCTTTATACGTCTTTTTTCTCTGGGTAGTACTTGTTGAACTGTTAAATAACTTTGTTTCTTGTAGCTTTTTTGTTTTTTAAAGACAGGGTTGTGTAGTCTAGGCTGGCCTTAAACTTGAGACCCTTCTGCTTTAGCCTCCCAAGTTCTGTTGTTTCAGGTGTGCATCCTCAAGCCCAGTTTAGCTGTCTCTGCCTTATATATTTTAGTTATGGTCTCACTATTAACTTGGGCTAGCCCAGAACTCACTGTGTAGACAAGGCTGCCCTTGAGTTAGTGGTGATTTTCTTGTCTCTACCTCTGCTTTCTGTGCCTCCACATCCATCTAACCATGTCTTTTTGGATGGATTCCCTCCCCCTTTGATTTCATATTCTTTGATTGTGTATGGGGGAGGGGTACACATGTGCGCATGACAACTTTAAGGAGTTGCCTGTCTCCTCCACTTTTCTATGGGTTCTGGGAATTGAACTCAGGTGGTCAGGCTTGTTCAGCAAACATCTTTTTCTGCTGAGCCATTCCTCACTCTTCTGTATTTTTCTTGCCTGTGGTCTGTGATTTCCTAGTTGCATTTTTGACTGTTGTTTCCTACAGAGCAGTGTCTCTCTGTCAGCTGCTGGCTTGACCAATCTGAGGTGACTGTTGGTCTTTAGAAGTCATACTTACTTACCTTTTACATGCCAATCCTTTGTGTAGTATTTGAACTTGATCATTCTCTTTTCCTGTTTACTTATTTACTTATTACTTATGTCATGTTTATTTATTTAGCCTTTCCAATATACAGAGATCTTCCTAGTTTTGTACAATATTTAAAAGTATATCTAGCTAGCTAGGAAAGAAGCTCTCTGTGTCCTCCTCCTCATTCCTCTCTGCAGTTTCATTGTTCATTTGTTGCTGCTGTTACTATTGTTGCTGCTGCTACTGTTGCTGCTGCTGTTGCTGCTACTGTTGCTGTTGTTGCTGTTGTTGCTGCTGCTGCTGCTGCTGTTGTTGCTGCTGCTGTTGCTGCTGCTGTTGTTGCTGTTGTTGTTGCTGTTGTTGTTGCTGCTGCTGCTGCTGCTGCTATTGCTGTTGTTGTGCTTTCCCTTCCAGTCTGCATTTTGTTCCCTGCAGTTCACTGTAAGCATGGCCCAGGCACTCCTGCTGTGATAATCGGAGTGAAACCCATTCCTTTCTGTGTATTTCCTCAGGGTGGTTGTAATGCCCGTTGGTTATTTAGTTTCTTTTGTTCTGTGGTGTGAGCCATTCCTCACTCTTCTGTATTTTTCTTGCCTGTGGTCTGGATAGTGATGTTTTATCTGTGAGCTTGGCAGATGCCCTCTTAGAGTTCTCTGCTTCTCACACAGACACTCGATATTCACACATAACTTTTTTACCTGTTGATGCTTCATTTCCATTGTCATTTATTAAGGGATTTTGTGCATGAGGTTGTGATTTTACTACTTAATTCTCTTTAGTTTTATTTGAGATTTAGAGAAATTTAAAATTTAAGTTCCCAGCTTAGCAGGGTGGTACATTCCTGTTATTGCAGCAGCAAGGAGCAGAGAATTTGGGATTTGAGGACTGCTTAATCTACATTTTTTTTTAAAGTTTTACTATTTACATGTTGTGAATCTGCCACTACATGTACTAGTCTGATTCTGTTGTGATTATATTAAATGCAGGCTGAACTCTAGTGGAAAATTAGCTGTATAGTATGTCTTATATTTTTCTTAATAACTAATAGATTACCATATCACCTACAATTAGATTGTCAGATGGCTTCTTATCTGTTAGCCATGGAAAAAGAATGGTAGAAGTTTCTATAAGAAATAGCTGTGTTTTTTGCAAATTTGCCAACAGCAGCTGGAATTTTTAATTATATAACTATTATTATATATATATATAGAATAGTTTTATTGATATAATTTACATACTAGATAATGGATTTATTTAAAGTACACAATTAAATGTGTTTTTGGTGGATTCAAAGAATTGTGCAACTGTTGCCATAATTCTGGAACACTTCCCAACCTTGGAAATAAAACAATTCATTGGATGTCTCGTTGCATATCACATTCCTATGACCCACTGACCCACTGACCCACTGACCCATTGACCCACTGACCCCTGCCCTTGGCAAAAAACAATCTACTTTTTTTTAAGTCTTTCTTTCTTTCTTTCTTTCTTTCTTTCTCTCTCTCTTTCTTTCTTTCTTTCTTTCTTTCTCTTTCTTTCTTTCTTTCTTACTTTAATATATATGAGTGTTCTGTCTTCATGCACACCAGGAGAGGGACTCAGATCCCATTATAGATGGTTGTGAACCACCATGTAGTTGCTGGTCATTGAACTAAGGACCTCTGGGAGAGCTTTTTTTTTTGAGACAAAGTTTCTCTGTGTATCTCTGGCTGTCCTAGAACTCACTCTGTAGACCAGGCTGGCCTCGAACTCAGAAATCCTCCTGCCTCTGCCTCCCAAGTGCTGGGATTAAAGGCGTGCGCCACCACTGCCCTGCACTGGAAGAACTCTTAACTGCTGAGTCATATCTTTAGCAACCCCAGTCTACTTTCAAATAGTGGATTTATTTATTCTGTTTTTCTGTGTTTTTTTTTTCTCCTCCATCTCTCCCTTCTCTGTATCCACAGCCTCCACAGCCCCTGCCCCACTCCAGTGGTGCTGGAGATTAAATCCAAAGCTAGCTAGACTGGCCTCTGCCTGTGAACTGTCTTTCCAGGCCTTTTGCTTTTTCAGATGATGAAATCATGTAGTATGTGGTCTTTTGTGCATGGCTTCTTGGCTTGGCATTATGTGTTCTCTGTTATCTGTGTGATCTGTGTGACAGTCATGTTAATATTTAGTGTCCTCTTATTTCCAGGTAGATTTTTACTGTCTAGATGGTCCTTCTTGTGGTGGATATTTGTTTCTACTTATTGTCATTATGCTTGATAATGTGTGTTCTGCTTCTCAACCTATTTGTGATTTAAGTTACGTTTTCCCTCCCTCCTTCCCTCCTTCCATTCCTTCCTTCTTTGATTTTCAATCAAAGTCTAACTTTGTTAGCCCTGGCTAGACCAGAATTTGCTGTGGAAACCAGACTGGCCTCAAACTCCCAGAGGTTCTCTTGCCTCTCCTTCCAGAGTTCTGGGGTTAAAGGTGTGCACCACCGCTCCAGCCTTAAATTACATAATTGATTTGTTCTTTAAAGGCGAGCACAGTTACTCCTGCATTGTAGTTCACACGACACTGGTTTGCTGAGTTTTGAAGAAATGATTTTGCGATCTAGATATAACACTGTCAGTTTTCACTCCTTTGTGCCGGAGATACGTCTCAGTGGATAGAGTGTTTGCCTTGCAAGCAAAAGTTTAAACCCCTACAACAGCTTAAATGGCTTGGTGGCACATGCCTGTAATGTGAGTCCTAGGTGGTTGAGATGGGATGATCAGAAGTTCCAAGTCATCCTTGACTATACAGCAAGTTCTAGGCCACCCTAGGCTACTTAAGTCCTTGTCTATAAAAACAAAACAAAACAAAAAACCAGCAGTTGGACTTCACATCTTGAACACTAATTAGTGCAACCTGTATAAATTTGAAGTTTATATTATTCTATCCTTAATTTCTGTCAGTTATTGAAATGTGTTAAAACTACCATCATGGTGAATTTTCTGTTATCTTTTGCCCTTTTGTTAAGCTTAACTATTTATAGTTTAGTTTTAGTTTTTACTGAAAATGGCATACCTTCTACATACACACATAAAAGAAAACAGTATGATTAATCATATTGCACCATGTATCGTTAACAACTGGGAATGTGTGGTCCAGCCTTACCTCATTGTTCTTCTATGCCTAGTGTTAAGCCTCTGCTTCCCAAATTATTTTAAAGTAAACCTTAGATATGATTATTGTTTTGTTCATTTGGTGTTTATATTTATTCATCCAGCGGTGGATTGCTATTCATGTCTGTGCCTCTGCACATATGAACATGATTTCATTCTTTCTGAACTATAAACATTATAGTATTCTTTCTTTTAGTGCATGCCTTTAAGTGGTGTATATTTTTTTGTTTAAATTAAAAAATATTTATTTCTAAGTACATTTGTGTTTATGTGTATACATGTGTGCTGGTGCCACCAAAGGCCTGAAGAAGGTGCTGGATTCTCTGGAACTCGGGTGTAAGTGACTGACTGTCAGCCACCTGGTGTGGGTGCTGGGAGCTGGACGTGGGTTCCCTGCAAGAGCAGTACTCACTCTTAACTGCTATGCTCTCTCCTCAGCCTTTTAAAAATATCTTTATTTTGTATAAAATAAAGCAGCAATCTCTCCTCCCCAATAAAAAAAAATAGAAAGGAGGGGAAGTCATGTTCACTTTTTTTTTTTTTAGAAGACCTCATTTTGTCTGCTTTGTCTTTTTTTCCCGGAGCCCTTGTGTCTGTGTCCTGATGTGAGTAGGTTCAGTATCCTTTATCTGTCTTTACACAGCGTTATTGGAAATCATTATGAAAAACGGAAGCACCGCTGGAAATAGCACACATTGCCGAAAACCTCCAGGGAGCAGCGACCAGAGCAAGCCCAGCTGCGGGAAGGAGGGCACTTCTGGTGCTGGTGAAGGCGGGAAAGTCTACACGAAAGACCAAGTAGAGGGCGTACTCAGGTAGGTGTGAATGCGCGAGTTTGCCGCTCCATGATCATTGATTGTGATCGGACCCAATCGACCTTATAATGCCTAAAAACGGTATTTAAAGCACAGTTTAATAGAAGGGAAATGAAGGAGTTACCTGGGTGTCCTGTGCTTCATATTGTGAAATCAGCCTGGAAGAAGTTAACTTCCTGGAAGCTCACACTCATTTAAATTAGCTATAAGTCACAATGAGTTTTTGAAATAATTGCTCTGAAATAATGATTTCAGCTTGGACTCTATGCACCGTTTGGACTGTAGTATGGAAAGAATGAGTTGCTTTGTTGTAATATGTAGTTGAAAATAGGAGAATTCATTTGAAGAAGGCTGAGAGTTAGGGTAGCAATGTTTTCAATTTCCTGACTAAACACGCCTTTTTCCTTTTCCTTTTCCTTTTCGGTAAGGAACCCTTGTTTACAGACACCGCAGTGCCCCTTTGCGGACTCCCGCAGCGATTCGCTCCGTTGTAGGAGCCTCCCTCTGCATACACGCCTCTCCATACACGCCTGCATGAGTCACAGTCAGCGGAGCCAAGCAGGGAGGAGCTTGGTTTTAGAAATACGGCTTTACTAACTTTTTATTTTAAAAATAAGAATGAGTTTTCTTAAAAGAAAAAAGGCTAAACTCTTAGGTACGAAATGCCTCCAAGTAGATTGTTTTGTTTCCTGTTGGAAGTTAAGGGAAGCTTGCTCTTCTGGGCAATCGAAGTTTGCAGGTAATGGATTCTGGAAATGACTAATCAAGAGTTCTCAGGGAGAGTGGATTCAACTAACCCAAGGGAAGAAGAGCTGTGATGCAGCAGAGGTGGCCTTTGTCCCTTGTCCTATGTCTCTTCCTTTTCTATCTTTTCCCTTTGTCTTCTCCAACATGTTTTATGTGACATATAGTTTGAGACTCAGAGTCTATCTAGTAAGGAGAACGACCTGTCACCCTGTCTTGAATCCAATATCGATGTTTGTATCTTCTTTCTTTCCTCTGTATGTGAATGTTGAAGCTTGGTTGTATCATTGTGTCTGAATTCACAGTGAGGGAAACAGATTCCCACTCAGGGTAAAGCTGTGGAGGAGGCCCTTTGACTGCTGGGATGGTAGCAAGGACTTCAGAGGCCTTAAGTGAAGTCGCTGACCATTTCCATAGTGCCACACTGGGCCGAGTCTGACTTTGGGAGAAGCGATAGGGAAACAGAATGCTGGAAACTCAGCCATAAACCAAGTTGTATTTTCCTGTAGGCATTACATTATATTAGGAGAACACTCTCCGTGGATCCCCCTTCTTTCTTGTTGGATTTTTTTTTTTACAGTAAAACATTCATACATGTAAAGTATGCATGTACATATGTTTATACTATATGCATGCCTGGTGCCTGTGGAGACCAGAAAACAATGTCTGATCCCCAGGATCTGGAGTCACAGAAGGTTGTGGGTACTTGGAACCGAACCTGGGTCCTCTGCAGGAGCAGCAAGTACTCAACCACTGAGACATCACTGCAGCTGCCTCCACCCCCTGGATTTTTTGATAACAAACTTAATTGTATGTGATTTTTGTGACTACTCCTCTCGCCTTGCAGAATAGAAATACCTATTCGCTTGGAAGTATCACCAAATAACAAAACTATAGTTGTAAATTTTGGACAATGATAATATTCTAGACTTGCTGTTATTTTTTAAATCTGTATTTCCTGACCTCTATGTGTGTGTAGAGGGGGGGGAGAATACATGTGTGAGCACACACACAGGAGAGGAACTTACATAAGTAAAAGCGATATATTTGTTTCAGCACTGGCCTGCGTATGCATGTGTACATGCCCCTGTGTGTGTGTACTTGCTTTTGGTTTTCTCCAGGCCAGGGGACTTGCCTCTAGTAGGTGGGAAATGGGGATGGCACATAGCAGGAGCAGCTGTGTCTTTAGAGTTGGCCAGGCGGAGCCCTGAGCAAGCTTCTGTCTGTCTCTGAGGTTGGAGGTGACGTTGTGGATGAAGTTGAAAGCTGAGGCGAGGAGGAAGAGTCTTTGCAGATGGAATGGAATGAGTGCAGATTGAGGGTCGAGCCGCGCTTAAGATCACAATTCCTGATAGACGAACTAATTTAGAAGCATTTCCTGTATTACAGATTGATTCTCTAAACCAGTATCTCTACTATATCTTAAATTCCACATAATATAAATTATATCTCTCTGACTATAAATAATGTAAATTGAATATATAAAATCCCCTTGTGGGATGTTTTATATAATTGTGAAACATTCTTTTAAGCAAATCCCTAAGTTATTTGAAATATTTCAGTCAGTCTGCTGTATGTTCGTTGCCTAGTTGCATAGTGTGTACATATTCATAGTGGACGTCTTAAATGTGGCCCCAGTGAGACAGCAGATGAGAGGCCAGAACCTGCATCTTGTCGTTTTGTGTTTTGTTTTATTTATACACAAGGGATTTTCCTCAGGAAAGTACTCTGTCTTGATACAGAAGGTGATTATGCAAACAAGTTGCTCAGTAACAGTTTGGCTCAGTGGGGAGAAGCCACGCAATGATCCTGCACCAGTTGCGTAAGTGCAAACGCACAGTAAGACTGAAGAAAACTTGTGTAACGAGCGCGAACAGGCGGCAGAGCCACTGAGCTCCGTGTCATTGAGTTGAAAAACATTTTAAAAATTGAGGAAAACAAACTTTATTGGAAGTTTTTAATGCATCATTGTGAAAGGATCATCTTGTATTTAAACATAAAAGATCATCGTGGACTCTAGCAGGCAATTATAGTTGCATCCAGCATTGCTCTTGTGCAACTCTTTCTCATTTGAATTACCAAGACTGGAGTGTCAGAGAAGCTTCTGTCTCTCCTCTCTTCCTCTGTCCTTTTGTTCTTTGTTGTTGTTGGTTTTTGGTTTGGTTTGTTTTTTTTAGACTAGGTCCTGCCTCGGAACCAAGACTAATCCCAAACTCATTCTCCTGTTCTAGCCTCTCTCTGAGTGCTGGGATTACAGTACGGGGCTATAGGGCCTGAACGTGTTAAATTTCAGTCCTTTAAATTCAAGGAAGATAAATTTCAGTGAAGAGGTACATGACCACTGCAGTTCTTATAAAAGAAAACATTTAATTGGGGCTTGCTTGCAGTTGTAGAGGGTTAGCCTTCACGGAGGCAACTATGGCGGCATGTGTCAGACATGGTGCTGCAGAGGTACCCGAGAGTTCTACATTCAGCTATGCAGGCATCAAGAACAAAACATGGGTCTGACCTGAGCATTTGAAAACCCAAAGCCCACCTACCCAGTGACACACTTCCTTCAACAAGGCCCCACCCACACCAGCAAGGCCACACCTACTCTAACAAGGCCACACCTCCTAATCTCTATCAAGATCATTATTCCCTAATGACTAAGCATTTCAATAGATGAGACTGGGGCTATTCCTATCCAAACCACCACATAGCGTTAGGAGTATATGTGGAACAGAACTGGAGGTGGATAATTGTCCTGGCTAGTTTGTATAGCCAGCTTGACACAACCATGAAGAAAGAGGCAATCTCAATGGAGGGTTTGCCCAGATAGGACTGGCCTGTGGTCATATCTGTGGGGAATTGTCTTCCTTGTTCATTGGTATGGGAGAGCCCAGTTTGAGAGTTCATTGATATGGGAGATGGCTAGTTTCATGCCATCTTGACACAAGCTACAGTTATCTAAAAGGAGAGAATCTCAATTGAGAAAATGCCTTCATAAAATCTAGCTGTAGGGCATTTACATTTTTTTTTTTTAATTAGTGATCCCTGGGGAAGGGTCAGGGAGGGCCCACCGAGCTCATTGTGGATGGAGCCATCCATGAGCTGGTGTCCTGGGTTTTCTAAGAAAGCAGGTTGAGCAAGCCATAGGAAGCAAGCCATGGTGGGCAAGCCAGGAAGCAGTCCCCCTCCGCAGCCTCTGCATTAGCTCCTGCCTTCGGGTTCCGGCCCTGTTCAGATTTCTGCCTTTACTGCGTTTGATGATGATCAGCTGTTATAGGGAACTATGAGTGAAATAAACCCTTCCCTCCCCAGCTTGCTTTTGGTTATGGTGTTTCTTCACACCAGTAGTAACCGTAGCGAACATACCAGCCCTTAGGAGGTGGTGCCACCCCTGGGCAGGCGCTGTTAGGTTGTATTAGAAAGCTTTGCTGATCAAGAATGAGCCAGAATGAATGAGCGGGTAAGCAGTGTTCCTCCGTGGTGTGTGTGTGTGTGTGTGTGTGTGTGTGTGTGTGTACGCGTGCTTCAATTCCTCCTTTGAGTACCTGTCCCGTTTTCCTCAGTAACAGATTTACGAGCAAGATGAGATAAACTGTTTCCTCCCCAGTAGCAGAAAGCAAACTACAGTGACAACACACCTAAGCTTTATCCTACCAGAGGCTCCTGGACCACCCTTGGCACATAGATAGATGCTCTGCAGCGCCGCCTCCCACCACCACACCTTGCCCCGGCACGGTTTCTAACATATCTGGGATAAAGAGTCTCTAGAGATTAGGACTTTCATTCAGACTGTTGGCTCAGTTAGTGTTTCTGTTTCTGTGATAAAGACCATGACAAAAAAAGCAGCTCAGGGAGGAGAAGGTCTATTTCACTTTACAGTTTGTAGTTTATCATCATCCAGGGAAGTCAGGACAGGAATCCGGAGGCAGGAGCTGAAGCAGAGGCCACGGAGGAATGCTTCTTACTGGCTTGCTCCTCGTGGCTTGCTTAGTCTGCTTTCTTATAGCACCCAGGACCACCAGCCCAAGGGCTGCACCATGCCCAGTGAGCTTAGTCCTCTCCATCAAGAAAATGTACCCCAGGCTTGCCCACTGGCCAATCTGGTGAGAACATTTTCTCACTTGAGGTTCCCTCTTTTAAAATGACTATAGCTTGTGTCAAGTTGACATAAAACTAGACAACACAATTGACCCTTTGTCAACTAAATGTACACATAATCACTGTTAGATCATAGCTTTTCTTATTGTCCTCAAGATGTTATTAATATCAATATCACAATATAAAATATATTCCAAACTTTAAAAGTCTCACAATCTTTAAAAAAAATTAAGTCTCAAGCTGGAGAGATGGCTCAGCAGTTAGGAACACTGACTGCTCTTCCAGAGGTCCTGGGTTCAATTCCCAGCAACCACATGGTGGCTCCCAACCATCTGTAATGGGTTCTGATGCCCTCTTCTGGTGTGTCTGAAGGTAGCAACAGTGTACTTATATACATAAATAATAATTATATACATAATTATTATATACATAAATAAATAATTTATAGACATAAATAAATAATTTTTAAAAAATCAGTCTCTTTAAAATATCCAAAGTTAGTCAGGCATAGTGGTGAATGCCTTTAATTCCAGCATTCTGGAGGCAGAGACAGGAAGAGCTCTGTTCCTATGTGGCCCCCTGTGCGGTCCCTTTGCAGCCCCCTGTGCAGCCCCTGTGTGGCCCCCTGTGCAGCCCCTGTGCGGCCCCCTGTGCGGCCCCTGTGCAGCCCCTGTGCGGCCCCCTGTGTGGCCCCTGTGTGGCCCCCTGTGCCGCGTCTGGCCCTGCTCTCATGCTCGCTCCATATGCACTGTACACTAACAAGTTCTCACAGTGTTTACTCCTCAGTGGTGACACACTTTTCAGGCCTTTCTTCCACCTCAGTTGCAGTGAGTGCACTGCCCTTCATCTGTATCCATCATGGGTTTCCCTCTCTGTGGCTATGATACACTATGGGATGGACATTCTCACGGGTGGGGGAACAGTCTGTCTACCAAAGTGAGAATGGACACTTGCATCACACCTACAGGTATTCCTTATACCATTCTAACAGAGTGACGTCATGCTCCTTATGCCATTCTGACAGGGTGATGTCATGTGCCTTATACCATTCTAACAGAGTGACGTCATGCTCCTGCTTAAAGTTTATATCCTATCATTTTTGTTCACAGCATAAACAAATGTAAGAATTACTATGAAGTCCTTGGAGTCACAAAAGATGCTGGTGATGAAGATTTGAAAAAAGCTTATAGAAAGCTTGCTTTGAAGTTTCATCCAGACAAAAACCACGCCCCTGGAGCCACGGATGCTTTCAAAAGTAAAGTAACTTATGAAGCGTCACTACAGTCTTTTCTAGAATGCCCTTTACAGTGTTTCAGAATATGAAATTCTGCTTTTCTTGGGGTGCATTTAGAAAGCAGCTTCAGAACAGTGTAAAAATCCTTTGAATCTCTAGGTCTAGCTTCCGTTACCCAGCCGAGCAGACGCAATATAGCTGCAAAAGTCGGCAAGGTGGTATTCCCAATCCTAAGTAACATCTCGGTACCATGTGTGCCTTCTACTTTGGTTTGGGGAGGTAGGTTGATTGTTTACATCACCTTCCAGCATATGACATATGGCCCAAGTCAACTAAAGTTTTACTGAGTTTTTTTCTGGAGATAGCCTAGAATGGAGATTTTCTAGATAGGCTATTCTAGGGATGTTGGTGGTGGTCTTAGATTTCTATGACATCTAGTTAGGTTTCATGACTCCAGAGCTCAAACCCAGGGCCATGAACATGTTAGGCAAGCTTCTGGCACTGAGCTGCGTCTCTAGTCCTTGAATTGATGAGCTCGGGTCTTGCTGTGTAACTCAGGCTGGCCTTGAACTTGACAGTGTTCCTGCCTCTGAGCACTGAGATCCCGAATATGCACAGCCAGGCACGGCACAGTTCTGCATTCTTTATACCCATGGTTAGTAATGTGATTTCCTTTGCTTCTTCAAGTTTGATTTCTTACCTGTTGTCTGTGTTTTCTATTTTACTTCCTAATCTTCTTTAAAGTTTTGGTGAATTTAGTAAATATTATATAAAATAGGAGGAAAAATTAGGTAAGCAATTTGATAATTTCCTATTTTGTGTGTTGTAATGAAAGCTGCACAACTGTCTTCCCTCCCTTCCAGATTTGCAGAGGCTTCCTTTAGCTCCACCTTTCCAGGGAAGCACTCTGTGGCTTCTCTTCGGCAGATAGCAATAGCAATAATTTCATGTTTTGTTACAGTTTCACTGTAACAATTAATGCGTTATCCATAGTGAGACATTTAACTTAGTGATTGTTGATTCTTGTGAATTTGATATTCATAGAGCCAGTGTTTGGTGTTTTCTGTAACGTGCTGGGGACTAAGAATAGAACAAAGGAGGTATTATGTTAAAGTGTTTCAAAAAAGAAGACTCGATTAGTTTTTCATAAAAATACCGTTAAAATTGTTAATAATCTAGCCATTGAGGAGCATGCCTGTAATCCCAGCTTTCAAGAGGCAGAGCCAGGAGGCCACAAGTTTGAGGCTAGCCTGGTCTACATAGCAAGTACTAGGCGAGCAGAGCTATGTACTATAAAATTCTTTTTTGTTTTCCCATCACAGCTAGCAGGAGAGGTGGGGAGGGGAGGGAAGATATTGTTTACAGAACAACTTTATTTGTTGAAGGAAGTTGCCAAGGAAAATACATTTGGGGATTAATAACATATTCCAATGAAAGCACTGCCAAAGTTGTTCTTATGGAAAAAGATAACTTCGTTTCCTTAAGTTAACAGTGGCACATGGAAAGAGTAGGGAACCTGGGGTGAGCAGGTGGTTCAGCAGGTAAAGGTACTTGCCACCAAGCCTGGCAACCTGAGTGTGAGGCTTGGGGCTCATGTCGTATGGTGGAAGGAGACAGCTGATTCCTACAGGTTGCACACGAGCGCACATGCACACACACACACACACTAAATAAATGAAATGAAAAGTTAAAAAAAAAAGAAATTACAGGAAACAGTGTTTTAACAGTTCAACATGAATTTAACTTAAACCTTTTCCCATTGTCTCATGAGCCTGCAGACTCTGATGGCTGGCTCCTACCCCATGATCACATAGGTGGCCCTGGTTAAACTCAGTCTGTCCCATACAAGAAAAACACAGCATAGGCTTGCTACAGGAGGGCATAAGGGAGGCTGGAGAGTGTAAGCACTCAGAATGAACTATACATGTGTGTATAAAATGAAAAGGACAGATTTAATAAAATGATAACAGATCTTGGCAGTGAGTGACCCAAGTAACGTTGGTAATAGTAATTCTTCCTGGACTGGAGGGATGGCACTGTGGTAAGAGCACACAATGCTCTTCCAGAGGACCCAGGTTGGATTACTTTAACTCCAGCCCTAGGGGACCAAACACCCCCTTATGGCCTCCACAGGCACTGCACCCATGTGCTACAACCATCCAGGCAAACTCTTCATATACATAAAAGTAAATAGTAATAAGCCAGGCTGTGGTGGTATACACCTGTCATCCTAGCACTCAGGAAGCAGAGGCAGGCAGCTCTCTGAGTTTGAGACATTCCAGGACAGCCAGGGCTACACAGAAAAACCCTTGAAAAACAAAACAAAACAGAAGGTACATAGTAGTAATTCTTCCTAATGTTAACAATGTTAGACTCAGCACCAGGCGTGCTTCTGCACACCTGTAATTCCAGCACTTGGGAGGTGAAGCAGGAAATCACGAGTTCTAAGTTTCCTTGGCTACACAGTAAGTTCAAGGCTAGTCAGAGTTATATGAGACTCTGCCTCAAAATTAATAAACACACAGGGCCTGGAGAAATGGCTTAGCAGTGAAGAGCACTAGCTGTGCTTCCAGAAGAGCCAGGTTCAAGTCCCAGAACCCACATGATGGCTTCTAAGAGGCTGTAACATCAGTCCTATGGTATCTGATGCCCTCTTCTGACTACTGGGGGCACCAGCCATGCTTAAGGTACACAGATACGTGCAGACAAAATACTTATACACATACACTAAGAGTAACTTAAAAAAAAAAACCAAAAAGAATGCTAGGCTAGTTGTTCCTGTGGTGCTGTAGCTGGGTGGTAGAATGTTTGCTTAGTGTGTACAAGGTCTCTAGTGCCATAAAACAAAAAATCCAAAGCCCTCAAAGAATGTTAAACTAGTTTCTCCCATTATGCATCAAGGTCACATGATCATTGTTGCTCTTATGAAAACACTAAGAATATAGGCGTCTACACCCAGCAGTGCTGTTGCTCTTTTGAAGCAGCAAACAACACGGATGTCCCCTACTAAGCCAGCCAGACACTCAGTGGGATCTCCCAATGATGGCTGTGAAGGCTGGGTGTCATAATTACGGTTTAATGTTCTGCTTTGTAAGGGAGATATAATACTTAGTAATCAGTATGCCAGGAGATGGTTATCTCTAGGGGAGAGGCTCACACAGTATGCAGGTGGTTATCTATAGGTCAGAATACCAATTTAATTAGTCCCAAAGGGGATCAGAATTGGGAGTTGCTTCAGGAGCCAGTTTTCACCCACTAGAAACTGGACAGAAACCCCAGCCTGTAACCCACAGATTCTCAGTGAGCAAACGTAGTTAGTCATCTTGTAGCCAGTATGGTCACACAAATAGGCAGGCTTCATTTGTCGTATGCTTCCTGAATATTTGATGTATTCTTAGCCAGTCATCTGCTTGGAGAGCCCAGCTGTTTCTTCCTAATTGGAGACAATGTATTGGTGTTTTTTCCTTTTTTTTTTTAAATTATTTATTTATTTATTTATTTATTTATTTATTTATATGTGTATCTTTGTAAGTACACGCCTGCACATGTGCTTACATGTGTGTACACAGATTTGTGGAGATCAGAGGACAGTGTGCAGCAGATTGTCTCCTTCTACCATGCATGTCCTGGGGACTGAACTGAGGTCGTCAGCTTGTGCCTTTAGCTGCTGAGCCATTTCACTGGGCCCCACTTTGGTCTTTTATATGGAAACTAAGATAAGAGTTTGATCACACTGAAACGTTATTTTATAGAAAGTGGAATCATTTGCAGGTTATTTTTCTATTCTATTTTATTTTCTTCAAGAATAGAGAAATAACCATAATGAGACTAAGGACTTAAGTTAAATGCTCCGTTCCTGGTTTTATAAGGGGAACAAGTCGTCCTAGGACAGTAAGCCAAACCTGGCTGGTTTGTCTTTCCCACAAAACTTGTTAAGTTTACCAAAGCAAGGAAATATTTATTATGCAGAGTGATTTTTACAATATACCTAAACCTGTTTTGCACATCCTTCTGGTGACATGGATTCATCTCTTGCCTCTGACATAAACACCATTACCTTGGTGTTGGGTGTAGCTCAGTGGTCCTTGCCTCTCATTCACAAGGCCTTTAGTTCATTATCCACCATCGCCATCAAACAAGCAACAAAACAAAAGCAAGCTACCAAACTAGGACATATTATCTTCAAAGACAGCGAGCGGCAGGTCGGAGATGATTTTAGTACACTGTTCATTTTCAGCATACACACAGACATCACAGAAGAGGGCTCGGGATAGCTGTGTGTTTCGTAAATAATGTGGACCACGTGCCAAGGCTTGGGCTAGGCTTGTAGTTTAATATTAACAGTGTAGACACAGGGGCATGTCTCTCAGAACAAAGATGTTAATTCTACCTTTGGGCTTTTTCTTACCTAAGTGAGGGGATTTGAGATTCCCTCATCCTCAAAGAATTTGTATCTCATAAAAAAGGGAGACATACTTCACCCAAAACACTCACCCCGCAGTGAATCCTAATATCTGCCAAAGATTTTATAGTTTTTCATTCCTATCTCTTTTTCTTTTTCTTTATTTAATGTTTATTTACATTCTTGTGAGAACAGACGGATGGTGGGCCACACCTATAACATCAGCACCTTGGTGATAGAGACAGGAGGATCCAGAGGTCTGCTGACCTGGAGATAAACAGCCATTCTCTTCTCCACTCGGGCGGCCTATTAGTTACCTTCACTCCAGCCTGACCAAATACTTGGCACACATAACTTCAGGGACGCAAGGTTTAGTTTTGGTGTGTGGTTTAAGAAGTATAAGTGTCAGTCTATCCTGAAGGGAAAGGCCATCCTTGGCAAGGCTGTGGACATGACGGTAGATAGGAAGTACAGGAGAGAGATACAGAAGGAAGCCAGGGTAAGATACAACGCCAAGCGCATGGCTCACATGGCCTACTACCGATGGCTAGACCTCACCTCCTACCTTTCAGCACCTACCAACAATGTCTTCACGCACGCGATTCCATCAGAGGTAATCATGTATTCAGTCAGAGCACTTGTAATTGTGGAAACCCATCACAGACACTGGCGGTGTTTTACCACTCATCTAGACAGTCTTCACTTAATCACATTGGCAATTTAGATTTTGCAGCACAAGGCAATGAAAGGTGACAAAGAGACCTTAGCACTTTACCACCATCCAAAAATAATGAGGTTATAGCCTCCTGGTGTCACAAAACATGTAGACTGCAGCAATGAGGCGCCCCTTCTAGCCAGGAGACAACTGTAGTCCTAACATGAGTCTGGAGACCCCATCTCTTCCCAGCACTGCTGGGGCGCTCCCCACTCCCACCTCACTTGGTAGTGTCAAAGTCTTAGGGGGAAGGAACCGGATGTCTGTTTCTGCAAGGAAGTGGTGAGGTAATATCCCCCTACTGTGTTAGAGTGGTAGGAAAGAAAGACATTAAACCATAGCATTTAAGATGACAGAGCCTTGAAACAGACAAAATAAACAAGTTGCAATTGAAAATCTCTTATCATTCCAAGAACTAGGACCCACACGGAATTGTAAAACTCATCTGTTAGACACCCACATGGAGAAGACAGAAAAGCCAGAGTTGTATAGCAAAGATGTTTCTATATCTATGATACAGCTGTCCTGAAGATCAAACACTTATGTGCCAAAAGCAAATAAGATCACCAAAGAAATACACAGTCTGAACAAAGGTGTACAATGCAGAGTAGAAAGTCATCATCCGAGGGAAAGATCTGAAATAACTGCTAATGTCTGAACGGAAGAACAGGGACCTGAGGATCTAGAAACCCCGTGCTTCCCATTCAAACAAGAGTGTCACACAGAACAGAAGCAGCAAGATCCGATACACAGCTCAGCTGCGCTCTGAGAGCAGGAAGACAGAGCTGAAAATCGCTAGAATAATTAAAGTTTGGAGACGTCTCAAACTTGATAAATAAGTAAATAACTAAATAACTAAATAGGCAAGCAAGCTTTTAGATGTGAGGCATTGGATGAGCCCCAAGCAGTTAAACCAAAAGAAATCTATAACGAGAGGCATCTCAGTCAACCTTCCGCAAATTAAAGACACACACAGTAATTAACAACATAAAAGAAAATCTTAAGGAGAGAAAGCAGATGGAGGTCCCTTATGCTCAGCTTAGTGCTCCGTGGTCCAGTCACTGTTAAGGTGAGGAGGTGTCAGAGCAGAGAGGGATGGTCAGTGACTGCCAGGATTGCAACAGATATGGCTGTCTGTTAAAACAAACAAACAAACAAACAAACTAAAAAACATCCCAAGGGACCTCTAGAAACTCTAGTAGTGACATTCCATAGTTACAAGATACAATGCCAAGGTTATCCTCTGGCTGTTACACACATACAAACACAGATACATGCACACACACACACATACATCCATACATGAGCATGCACGTGTGTGCTACACAACACCAAACACACACACACACACACACACACAGACACACAATGACATTTTTATTGAAGATGACATGACAAAAAGAAGTACATGAAAGGATTTGAGCTTCATTAGCCATTAGAGAAATGTAGATATCAGGGTGCTGTGCACCTATCATAATGGCTAACATAGAAAGCAGCAATGGCTCCCGTTCAAGTAGCTCTGGGCACAGATAATAGATTATTCATGTATTGTTGAGGAGAAGTAAAATGAGAATCATTTTGCAGAAGAGCTTTGGAAGTTGATCAAAAAAGTAATTCTGAGCTACCATACAATTGAGCAATACACTGCTGGCATTTATCCCAGAGAAACGAACATTTGCATTTATGCATAAACCTGGGTAAAGGCATGTAGCTTTATTGTGATAGCCCCAAACTAGAAAGAGCCCAGCTGTCATTCAGGGGATGAGCAGTTAAACCAGCAGTGCTGTCTCCATGCGTGGGATACTACGTAGTGATAAACATGAACGCACTCCTGACAGGTAACTAGCCAGATCAGTCTGGATACCTGTGCTCAAGGAAAGCAGCCGGTTCCAAGGGGTTTCTCTTATATGAAGTAATCCTATTTTTATATTGTGCTATTTATACAATATCGTTTTATGATTTTTATTTTTGTGCAACAGAGTCTCAATACTGTAACCCAGGCTGACTTTGAACTCAGGGCCCTGCCTCGGCTTCTTGTGTGCTGAGACTACAGACATGCACCTTCCCCACTCCGAACTTTCAGCATCCTAGACATGGTGACATTGAAGAAGTGGCCAAATAGCCCAGTAGTTGCCAGGGACTGAAGAGAGGTATGACAGGGCAGGGATTGAATGCGGTTGTAAAAGAGGACCCCTTAGGGCCAGTGAAATGATTCAGTTAGTATAAAGGTGCTTGCCGTGCAAACCCAGTAACCTGAGTTCATTCCCAGAACTCACGGAAAGGTAGTAAGTAACCTTTCCAAGTCTACCAGGTTGTAGCCATGGGCTGTGTGCCCACAACACACATCATGCACACAGAAAGTGAAGAGTTGGAGTACTAAAAAGATGGCTACAGAGTGTTCTATGCTCTACTGGTTGTCAATGTCAGTTCTCCATTTATGATTTTTTGCTATAATGAATAAGATATTATTACTATTAGATAAAAGGTATAGAGGATATTTATATTTTAAAATGCACATGAATCTATAATTACCACTAAGTAAACTATTAAAGAAAAATGAATTTAAAGGTCTTTTAAGTATAATAAATGACAGTGAGATAGAAATATGCTTTGTAAATTTTGAACACCAAAATAAAATTTGTATTAATTTTCTAGATTACAAGGAGTGGTAATCATTCCTGATTGTGCACATGCACAAAATGAGCTGATAGTTAAAGGCCAGCCTGGGCTATGTACTGAGACCCCACTACAAAAGCAAAACACAACAGCCACAACACATAAGACTTGATGCTGGACCCTTGAGCACTGCAGTGAAGCCATGGACGGTCCTTCCTCTCACATGGGGGTTTCTGTCTTAAGGAGGATGCATTGTTCAGAAATGAAATGGGAGGTAGTGTGCCCCAACGAGGGGAGATTTTAATGGAGACGTCTTGGAGCAGTACATATCAATACTACGCTGAGTATTTGACCTCAGACAACTTACTTAGCAAGTAAGTCTTGGGATCCGTACTGTCAAGTTGAAAGTATTAACGAGTGAAGTACATGGTGGAGACCCCTGTGGTCATTTTGAATAGTTTTATTTGTAAGGGTGGCCTTGAACTTTTAATCCTCCTGCCTCAGTTTCCCAGAGTGCTGGGATTATAGATATGTAACCCCTATTTATGGCATGTAGGTTGAACAGTCTTGACGAACGGCTCGATTCGGCAGCTCAGAGTGGTGAGTGGGGTTTTAGAGGCTACGATGCAGTATTGCAGTAGGATGGACAGACATCCCTCTGTTTCCAAGCGGTGGGAAGATTTGGCTGGCTAGTATAGAAAGCTATATTGAGCACTAACATGTGATGTTGCAAAACGTACATATAATATTTAAAAGAAATCGTTACTTTTTTTTTTACTGTTTTATGATTTTTTCAATTGGTTTAAAACAATATTTGAGTTGGTACTGCTGCATGCAGGGAAGTTTTGTGTAGACTAAAGTCTTTGCCTTTCAATGCTGTTACTTGTTGCTTCTTTAGAGATTGGAAATGCTTACGCCGTTTTAAGCAATCCAGAGAAACGAAAACAGTATGACCTCACAGGTAGCGAAGAGCAAGCTTGTAATCCCCAGAACAACGGCAGGTTCAATTTCCACCGAGGCTGTGAAGCTGACATAACTCCGGAAGACCTGTTCAATATCTTCTTTGGCGGCGGATTTCCTTCAGGTACTCGAGTTAACTTTTTTCCCTCAGCTTGACTTCATAAAGATTTCCGACGTTCTCATCTGGGCTGTTTTGTTTTGACACAGAGTTTCACTAAATGGAACTCTGAACATGAAACTCACTATGTGGAACACATGATACGTGGAACTCACATGTAACTCAGGCTAATCTCTAACTTAAGCAACTCTCCTGCCTCAGTCTCTAAAGTGTTGGGGTTACAGGCTTGATCGTGAGGTTCTCCATGCATTTTCTACAGGGCTGGCTTTCTCTCAAAGGAGGGAGAAGGTTATGGGCTATCACTGTTACTAAGCCTGCCTCTTTCCTAGAGAGTACTTTAATTAAAAAAGAGGTAATGAGTGCAGATACCCTGTTTTATTAAAAACTGAAGAAAAGGAATATAGACAGGAAACCCCAAAGCAATGAATTATAATTGTTACAATTAGAGGAAGCAACTGGTACCTGGTAGGGTGATTGACATTAGTTCTCTGGAGCCTCAAACGACACTATAGACTGTTAATGCCAGTGTATGTAAAGGTCTTCATTCATATCTTCGTTGAAATAGTAGACAGTCTGATTGACACATAAACCTTTTAGGTATCTTTTTTATTGTGTTGTAGTAGGAATAACCACTTGAACAAGGCTCTCAGGGAGTGCAGTTTTCCACTAAATAAGTAGATCTTACAGTGTTAGCGTAAGTAGCATAAACTCTTATTTTTACTTACTGTGTATTGCTTATATGGAAATGAATTTAAGAATGATTTCTTTAAGCTCTAAGATGTTCATGGCATTGACTTACGGTGCTCATTCAAAATGAGAATTTGACCCGATGGTGCTTTCAACATCGTTGAGAAAGTATTGTCATTGGTAGGACATTTTGCAAAGCATCCTTGAGTTGTAAAAATGAATGATCAAAACTGTAACCTGTGTTTTAACAAATTAAGACACATTGCCTCTAAGAAAAGTTACTAAACTAGCAATTTTGACTGAAAATATGTTGGGAATAGTCAGAAATCTTTCACGCAATAATTTTCTTCTTAATAGATAATTATCAGTTCTCAGTTAGTTATAACATGACATATTTTGTCAGTAATAGCCATTTCTGTTTTTTTTACCCCATTTGAAAAGAGCTTGAATGTCCACCTGTGATCCACTTTGATCATTTTACATTAGCATTTTAAAAACATTTATTGTAATGTTGTCTTTGGATTTCTAGATGAGTTTGATTCATTTAAGTACAGTAATTAGAATTTTCAGAATAAAGACCTAAAGTTTGTAGAAACAATCACCAACAATGATGGTCCTCGATGGATGTAGCATTATTGAGGAACTCTCTTCCACATTTTCACAAAAGAATTTAGAAAGCTGGGTCTGGCAGCCTATGTCTGCTTTGGAAGGTGGAAGCAAGAAGAGCACACAGTAAACATTCATTGTTGAAAACAAACATCTGTCATTTTAGTAACTTCTATAAAGGGTGGGCATAGTGGTGGGTGCTTTGAATCACAACAAGGAGAGCAGATAAACAGTGAAAGCAATTTTTCCCACTCACGGTTGCTTCCTAACGTCACCCTGTGTTTGATTTCCTAGGTAGCGTACATTCATTTTCAAATGGCCGGGCAGCGTACAGCCATCAACATCAGCACCGACACAGTGGGCATGAAAGAGAAGAAGAAAGAGGAGATGTATGTTTGCAATGTGATTATAAATCTCAAAACGACAAATTCCAGTTCAGGAAAGCAATTAGAATTGACTAAAAATAGGGCAGGTTGTTTTAGAAAATAATGACTTTTCTCTTAGCAAGTGTTCAAAAGAGACTCAGAAATCCTGTGAGAGAAGTGTAGGCACAGGAGTGGAGGTCAGCTTACGGGTGATGGCAGCGTTGTCTCCTTCCAGTTTGGTATTGCATAATTCGGACAAAGGTAAATCTATATTTTGCATGTTCTGAAGGTGACTTCTTTTTATTGATCCTAAAAGATTTGGACACGATGCTGAAAAACTTCAGTTAGAAGTCTGTCTGCCTTTGCTTGGTTCTAAGGCAGGTATACTTGATTGCTTGTATTGATTAAGCTCTTTGTGTAGAAAGCTGGATGGAAAGGACACTAGACTAGACATGAAGAGGCCTGAGGCCAGCTCCGCCACATGTCCAGTCCCCTCACACACTCAGTTATCTCTGTGTGTGTGACAGGAGGGGGCTTCCTTATCTCTAAAATGGAGTCAGATGGTATCAACCTTTTCAAGCCCCGAGGAGTTTGTACTTTAGGGATAGTAGCAGGAGGTGGGGTTTATCCAGCAGGTACTATCAGGGTATGTGGTGACCAGTGGATTGTGACAGTCTGACGGTCTGACACAGTCTGCTGCTCTCTGGTCTCTTGGCAGGGAGGCTTCTCTGTGTTCATTCAGCTCATGCCCATCATCGTGTTGATCCTTGTGTCCTTGTTAAGCCAGCTGATGGTCTCGAATCCTCCGTATTCCTTATACCCCAGATCGTAAGTAGCTAAGCAAAGTTTTACAGAATTTCACTATTGCTGATTCTTTTCCTTCCCTTGAAGGGTCCTTTGATGCTTTTAAGTGCCTACTCTTTTACAAGAAAATCTCTAATTTAAAAAATAGTTAACATAAATGATACATTTCTATCATTCTCGGTGGTGTACACGTCTGTCCCACTGTGGGTAAGTGGGACAGAAGTACCATGTTTGGATTTGAATTTAATGTAGAAGTTGAAACACTGACATGAAGGACTAGAAGGGAGAGGAAAAACAATCGGTCTTATACAGGTGTCATTATGTAGGAGGAGCTAAGGTGGGAGGAGTTAGGAGAGGAAGAGGTAGAGTAAGAAGGAGAGGAGAAAAAGGAAGAGGAGGAGCTAGGAGACAAGAGAGGAGAACGAGAGACAGAGAGGAGATGGAGGTGGATGTTCACGTGTCTGTAGCAGTCAAAGGTAGTTGGTATATCTAGGTTGGGTATTGGGTTACACTTCTGATTGTATGGGTATCATGTTACTGATCAATACCAAGTATATAAGCCTTTGATTAATCTTTAAGCATTAGAGTCTCATCTTTCTACTGGGCTCACATGGATGGTGGGATGGGATGGGCAATGTCCAGCCTTGCAGAGACAGCGTGGGAGATTGAGCCATCTCCCACACTGACATCTCGTGGGTGGCAGGGCTGGTGTTTCTAGTTGGCCATTTCTAGCTGCAGCATGCATGTGGCCTCTGGCCGAGAAACATGGCGGCTGGGCTAGGCAGAGCCGATGCAGCTTAGATAGTCGGATTAACAAGTGGCCGATTTTAAATACTTCCTACAACATCATTAAGTGGGAAATGATTTAAGTGAATAGGAGATAAAGGAAGCTTAACTAAAAAAAATCTGCGTACTCTGTACAAAATTGTTTGGTTTCTGAGAATGTAACTAGTACTTATGTTAACTAATACTGACATTAGGTAATACTGACATTAACTTTAAATTACTTTTAGTTTTGCTCCTTGATTTGCATAGTAGGATATAATCTTAATTTAAAAAAGAATAATCATCCATCTCTTTTGCAGTGGCTCAGGACAAACTATTAAAATGCAGACAGAAAACTTGGGTGTTGTTTATTACGTCAGTAAGGACTTTAAAAGCGAATATAAAGGAACACTATTACAAAAGGTAGAGAAGAGCGTGGAAGAGGATTACGTGACTAACATTCGGAATAACTGCTGGAAAGAAAGACAGCAGAGTAAGTCCATCATGTGTTTTTGCTATCTTGGAAAACCTTTAGAGTCTTTGGAATTATCAAGGTGGATTTCCTTACCTAAGGAGTGCTCTGAAATCACTTGGTTTATAATTGGGATTCAGTACATGACTAAGTACAGTCTGAGGCCTTTCTCATCCATGTTTTCAGTCAGCTGTTAATCAAAACTGTGCAGAAAAAGACTGTGCATCTGTTCCGAATGTGTGCTCTCTGATCCTTCCACTATAACAACCGGCTGCATGACACCGCCACCTTAGACAATGTTTGTAAGCTGGAGGGAATATGCACCGGTATAGGTTGTATGCAAACACAGATGTCTGTGTAAGAGACTTAAACATCCTTCTGTCCTAGTGTCTGGAGATCGTGTAAGCAATCTAACATGTCTATTGAGGGTTGAGTGTCATGATTTTTATACATGTGGCAAACTATAGTAATTGGCAGTGTAAGAATTTACTAACTGGTTCTTGTCTTAGAGTGTTTAATAAACACTTTGTTGAGTAGATTGCCTTACATGATGCTACCTCCAGTCTCACACTACCCAGAAGTCCACGTTACTTCTCTATAAACTCGGTACCTTATCATCACAGCGTAAGGCTAAGTAAGCATTTAACATAGTGGCTTGGACATGCGAGTGTGTTGATGGACCCAGTGCCGTGCAGATCTTGCAGATCACAGCTACCGTAGGTTCATGAGAGCAGCAATGACGTCTTGCCTGGTGGATATCACCCCACAACCCTCCAGCCCATCCAGCTCTTCCTCCTGTCCGGGTTCCCTGAGCTTTGGTGGGATGATAGCGATGTCCCGTTTAGGGCCACACCTTCTGCAGTCATTTGTGCTCGTTATTCTGACAATTTATTAGTCTCTAGTCATCGCCACCCATTGCAAAGAGAAACTCTCTTTTCAAAGATGACGGCATGTCAATTATGGGATGTAAACAAGCATTTAAAGATAACTTCATTGTGTCCATTTAGCAGGACATCAGAGTAGCATATCTAATCAGGCCTGTGACCTTTTAGCCATAGGTTTTTGTCCAGGTTTACAGTACCAGATGTGAATTCTTTCCTGTCGAGTGGACCACAACTCTGCCCAGAAAGTAGTTATTTACCCCCATAGCAGCTATAGCATTTATTGTATGGTGGACACATCCTATCTAAAAGATTAGTACACTGGGCCCCAGCGTCCACAGCTGAATTACACCGTTCATAGTAATTCTTTGTCAGCCTGAATAGCTCCTTTTGACACCATGGAAGCTAACTGGGAAGAGCAGGCTTCTAGCTCAATTCTAGTCTGATTTTTCTGTGGCCAAGCATGTAATACGTTTAGCCGGAAGGTCTTGTCATCCAGTTCTATCAGGCAGAGTTACGGTTATTTATACCAGTTGTATGAGTGGAGGTATTTGCACTTTTCTGTGGGGATGCACATATATCCCAAATTTTTGCCATGTGTAAAAGCACACCCAATCCTAGCACTTGGGGTGCTGATGCAGAAGGACCATAAGTTTGAGGCCAGCTTGGGCTATTTAATGAAGTCCATTCTCAGGAAGAACAAGGTAGAGGAAGAGAGGGAGGAGGAACATGTTTTTATTTGTGTTCTTTTTTTTTTTTTTTCTTTTTTTTTGGTTTTTCGAGACAGGGTTTCTCTGTGTAGCCCTGGCTGTCCTGGAACTCACGCTGTAGACCAGGCTGGCCTCGAACTCAGAAATCTGCCTGCCTCTGCCTCCCAAGTGCTGGGATTAAAGGTGTGCGCCACCACCGCCCGGCTTATTTGTGTTCTTAACTATTGGAATTATCACAAAAACACCACAAACACTGTTTCTGGCAGCCGTGATTCTCATGCTTAGAAAATCCCCAGAGGGGATTCCAGAGGAGTCCCTTAAACCACTTGGCTCAGGGGTGAAGGGGAAGGGCTCTGGGAGGAAGTAGCAGGGCTGTAGCCTTATTTACTTTTTGTGTTGATTCTGTGTGCTAAGTTCAAAGTAAAGTTATATAAAGAAAAAGCCCAACGGGTGTGGTAGTGCACACCTTTAATCATAGCACTCAGAGGAAAAGGCAGGAGGATCTTTGAGTTCAAGGCCAGCCTGGTCTACTTAGTTTCAGGACTATGTAGAAACCCTGTCCCAAAGAAAAATTCTTTTAAATAAAAGAAAAAGTCCAAGTGAAATAGTTTTTAGGAATCTTACTTGATTCTTCCTTTCTTTCTTTTTTCAAAGTCAGTTAAGAGAATTATGTATGTGTGTGTGTGTGTGTATACATATGAACGTCTCTAAAGCATTATTTAAACTTAAGCAACTAAAGCAATGTAAATTATTATTAACTAGCAAACGTTTGGCATACAGAAACAGATATGCAGTATGCAGCAAAAGTGTACCGTGATGAAAGGCTGCGGAGGAAGGCAGACGCCCTGAGCATGGACAACTGCAAAGAGCTGGAACGGCTGACCAGTCTCTACAAGGGGGGATAATCCGGGAGTCCCGCCTGCTCCTTTTCGTGTACTCTGTCTTTTCTGTAAATGTCATGTCGCCATGAAGCCGAAGAAGATTTGATTAAAGACTAAGCTGAGTAGTTGCTTCCTGACATCTCGGACTGTTAATGATCTACTGGCTCATTTCAATAGTAAGAACTGAGAACTAAGTATTTTAGTATGCTTCTGCAATTACTTTAACTTTAAAATCTTATATGATTCCTTACGAAGTCTGGAGAGGATTATCACACCTGTAGCAATTGCCAGTTTTGTGATTCTCCATTATTCCTTTGCCATGTAAATATTTTTAGGATGATTTTTGTATACATATGAGCGCTTGCCTTTTATTTAAATGATGTTAGTGTTTAGCTCCATGAGACACTTCCTTCAGGCTGACAGAATGAACACAGTCACATTTCCCATTAGGTGTTTGGGTGTGTGCAGTTTAAACTGAGAAAATTTTTCAAAAAAAAAAACTTTATGTACAATCTTATATGAGTGTAGAAGGAATTGACATTTTTAATATTGTTCTTATATTCCAGAATACGTAATGACGTAAGTGAACTGGTGTTGACTTATCAGTATGCTCTTTAGTTTTATGAATTGCTAAGCCATACGTAGGAATGAAATGCTATAAGATAGATTTTAACAAAAATACGATGATAAATATTACGCTGAGCGAGTTTTCAATGGTAAGTTGCAGTTATGCCATTCACAATTCCAGTAATTAAAAGTTAGCCCCAAATGTTCATTTATCTGTCTTTCAAGGCTACTGAAGCTTATGAAACAAAAGATGAACTTTGTTCCTGTGGAAATTCAGTTTCATGGAGATAACTGAAGCAAGACCCCCAAAGCAAATGGATTCTTCTACAAATAAGTAATAACAAAATGACCACTAACACCCAGCTTTGTGCCTTTCCGACTGCGGCTGGCTTACTTGACAGCATGGTGTGTTGGGTCACAGTAGCCCTATGCAGAGATAGAGCAGTACCTAGTGCAGTGATTGACAGCAAGCATAGAGCAGTGATTGATGGCAAGCAGCTAGAGCAGTGATTGGCAGCAAGCCATCAGAGCATGCTGCACTCCACCACCCAGGCCACTCATCAGGTCTTTAGAATAAGTTCCTTGTAACAAAATCTGTAAAGTGGGGAAATACAGCTGAGACTTGAGGCTTTGCTGCTTATTGAGTTTGGCGTGACTTCTGGTCTTGTATGTTTAATGGTAGTAATGGCTTAAGGGTTCTGCTTCATACAGTTAAAGGATTACAAACATGTTTTTGGTGGTTTTTTTTGTCATATATCCTGCCCCCAATCCCTCGCTCAAGAACAAGAATGTTAGGCAGAGTGGCTTTGTGCTTTTGTGTAAGGATTTCTCCCTAAATATTATTGATTTATGTCATTCATTGAACTCAAGCAGTCTCTTGTATTCTGTCCTCAGGTCCTTCAGTAAAAATACCTGATTATTAGTAGGTTGAATTACACACAGCGTCCTCAGAGTCTGGAGAAGCCAACCACCCTTCTAGACATGACCGTTAAAACTAGGAGTGCTACAAAAACGTAAATGTCCATTTTAAGTTTTCATATAATACATCATGCGAAACTATTAAAAATGCTATATAGCTACTCATCTTTAGTAAAAACCTTTCCCTCACAATTTACATATATTCCTTACTCCCTACGGTAGAATCTTGAGAGGACTAACTTCAAAGGACCACATTCCACAGCAGCTGTTTCCTTCTCTACTATGTGTCTGTTGACTGTGGCTGCCTCTTGCTCAGGTTCTGCTGCATGCTCTCACGAAGGCAGAGGGCTCAATGTAGGAATCACTGCTCTTTGGTTAGAATAAACCTGCAGCTGAGTTTTGCATTAGTGTCACGCTCACAGGTCCAGGGCACTCATGGCCTTGTTCTCAGAGCCTTCCGATCTGTTGTGCATCCTTCAGCAAACTTTCTGTCTCACCGCTAGCCAGAAGTAGTGCTGTTTAGTCTGTGCGAGTGGTTTTTCTAAGGTTGCGTGCCCCTGAACACAGCTCTTTGTGGTTTTCAGTTCTTTCGTTAGACTCTCCTTCCTCAGCTGTCATTTCACTGTCCACTTTGCAGGTTTCTGAATTCCATCGAGCCATTATTATTTTTTAAATTTGTTTGTATCTTCATCCCCTGCTGATCTTGTTCTCTACAAGATGATGGGCTTGGAGCTTCTCCTCGTATCCTCTGGTCCTCAGGAGACTGCTTCTATGGTGGTTTTAGTGGATGCTCATGGTATCTGTGTTGTTGTTGTTTAGTTTTGTTTTATTAATTTTGAGTCAGGGTCTCACTATGTAGTTCTAGCTGGCTCAAACTCTCAATGGAGATGTGCCTGGCCTGGATCTCTCAGAGATTGGTCTGCCCCCCCACCTCCCACCCCCGCTGGGTTTAATAGCACGTGCTCCCACACCTAGTAATAATGCTTTCTTTCAGAGGAACACCTAGTTTTCTATTTGCCATTCAGATCATTGATCTCGTGTTTAACATGTCCATTGAAATATCCACTTCAAATTCTCTAGTTTTTAAGGCTCTGTGGCAACAAAATTCTTACGTTTTTTTGTTCACCTATGTCCTTTGCTCTTCTTTGAAGTGCTCCCTAAGTCCAGTGCACTTCTTTTAGGTCTTGGTTTTTCTACTGGAGATGTAAAGAATGATGCTTTGCATACACGGCTTCAACTCAGCAACTTTCCATAGTTTCCTTTTCATATGCAGCCAGAGTTGCCGGGATCCTCCTCTTGTTCTTTTAGCATCGCCTTTAATGCAGAACATTCAGCCTCAAGATTTTGTGATTCAGTTGCTCGGCCATTCCTGCGATACTCGCAACTGTTTGAAATGGTTTTATTTAATTTATTCTTATGTTTGTGCTGTGTGTGTGTGTGTGTGTGTATGTGTGTGTGTGTGTGTGTGTGTGTGTGTGTGTGTGAGAGAGAGAGAGAGAGAGAGAGAGAGAGAGAGAGAGAGAGAGAGAGAGCACATGTGCCAAGAGGCACATGTAGAGGTCAGAGAACACCTTGCAGGGGTTGGTTCTCTTTTTATACCTTGTTCAATTCTGTGGATTGAACTTAGGTTGTCAGACTTCTGCAGGAAGTATTTTACCACTGAGCCATCTCACCAGCCTGCAGATTGTTGTATAGCTTTTAACTTCAGACAGACTTCAGCTAGTCACTATAGAGGTATAGCTCTTTCTCCCTGGTAACTCTGTGTAATTTTTTCATTTTTATCTCTTCTTTTTTTTAAAAAAAAATGTGTTTTATTAGCACACATTAATTATATAGGACAGTGGGTCTGTCTCATTATGACATTTTCATACACACATAGGATGCATTTCATCGTCTTCACCCCTGTGACACCCTCCTGCTCCCCTCCCACTTCACTCATTCACTTCTTCCCAGCACGTCCCTCTTCACCTTTCAAGACTTGTTGCCGTTGATGATGATGTTGCTGTTGGTGTTGATGATGATGGTGATGATGATGTTGCTGTTGTTGATGATAATGATGATGTTGTTGTTATTGATGATGCTGTTGTTGCTGTTGTTATTGATGATGATAATGATTATTTTTTATTATGGTTGTATATAGGGGCATAGGTCAGGTTTATTTACAGGAGCATAAGCGCCAGTGCCTGCAACCCTGAAGAAATTGTGTCTCCTTCTCTCATCAACCACTAACTGCCTTAGATCATCAGGGGGGGATGGGTGGACCTCATGATGCCCTCCTCCTCCAGGGCAGGACGTGGACAGGCCCAGTCTTACAGAGACCTTGTGCAGAACCACAAAGAGTGATGGATGACTGTGGCGTGGCCGGGAAACAGTGTTCCACAAACACTTCACTCTTCTTGCATTGTCTCCACCCACTGTCCCATGATGCTCTTTGATCCTTGAAGTGGGTAATGTTAGATGTCTCACTTAGGCTGAGCGCTCAATGGTCACGTCTTCTCATTACTGTGACCATCAGAAGCTCCACAGTTACTTCTGCCCGCTAAAAAAATAAAAGAAGTTGCTTTGACAAAAGCTGGCTGTAGCATTCACCTATGGACCCAAAACATAACAGGCAGTTTGTTGGTTTTTTTTTTTTGTTTTGTTTTAATGGAAATTTGAAATTGCAAAGTTCTATCTCCGCTTCAGTGTGGCCTGTGGTCCACATGGTTTACATTTGATAGTGTTGATGTATTCTGATTTCATTTCCCACTTTTCCTCTTTTTCTTCAAGTAGTTCACTGTGTCTGTTTTTAATTTCTATTTACCTTTCATTCGTGAAATTAAACAATATAGAAGCTTATTGAATTTCTTGTGTCATCCTTGCACAGGGGCCATGCTAATCTCTGTATTGTTCTGTCAGTACACGTTGCAAACATGAGCCCATGTCATAGAATTTTAAATATCTTCTTGAGCCTATAAGAATAAGTCACTTTAAAATGTAACATTTGAATTAACTTTGAAGGCTCATAGCTGTCAGAAAACCTGTAGAAATTTTTGATGTACTTTTCCAGTTTTAGTGGGGTAGGGTAGATAGGTCAGGTTATCAGATTGAGGGAAGTGAACACAGCATGAAGTCATACATGGTATGACATACAGTATTATGTTTGAGGTTCGTTGCTACACCCTATCACGTGTATCCCATTTATGGGTTAGAGTAAACAGTACTTGGGAGTAGCCGTGGGAGATGTTGGTTGAGTGCAGTATCTTAAACTACATAGAAAGGACGTCAGTAAACACTGAATCCTTTATGCTTCCTGTCTAGTGGCAAGGACCTGTTGGTATCTTTGAATTGAATTTTACGTGTCCTTAGAAAGCTTAAGCTGAAAGATTTTTTTTTTTGTGCGTGCTGATTACTCTTATAATAAAAATCCCAATATCTTCCTGTTTTATTTTTAGCTACATGGAATTCCTTAATTTCATTTGATCACTTTTATCTTTACCCAGTAGCTCTTTACCTTAGCGTCTTAATAAGTTTCTAATTTGTTTTCTTTTGTAAGTTTGGAAATAGTAGCTATACTTACTAGTAATTGACATTCTATCGCTTTATACATAGAGAAACACACACACACACACAGGAATGGAAACAGCAACACACCTGCTCCTTTCCTTTCCCTTCTTCCTGGATGCACTGGATTAGTTACCTAGTTAGCTCTAAATCCTTGTTTTAAACCAGACAGGTTCACTGAGCGCTGAGACAGCTCAGGTTTTCCATCTAACAAATGAAAATCACATTTGAGACCTGCTTTCATTCCATAATCAGAAAAATGAAGTTATTTAAGGTGTGTGTGTGTGTGTGTGTGTGTGTGTGTGTGTACATCAGTGCATTAAAGTGCTGGGTGTTAGGTCTTCACAGAGCAGGAATTTTGTGTTAGGTCTTCACAGAGCAGGAATGTGGAACGCAGCCCTTAACTTCAAATGCACTTTTATGCTTAATTTTTCTTGTTGTTAAACCTCTCACACTGATATGTAAAATAAAAAGGAAATCTTTATCAATAATATTAGAAATACTGGTACTTAAAACATGATATGGTTGTTACTGTGTTTTCAGATATTTCGTTTAAAAAAAATAACAAAACAACCAAACAAACAGCTCCCACTTTTTAAAGCAGTGAAATGTTTCTTGGTGGAGCAGAGCCACCTGAGCCATCATTTCAGTTAGCCGAGTATTATAACAAAGGACCACGTGGTTAAAAGAGGAACGAAGGTCTTTATTTAGCTTCTCCACACGAAGCTTGATCTTAGTTCTAGACATTTTGCTATCCATCCTTTTACTGAGTGAGGGAAACTGAGAGGAAACCCAGAACACTTTTTATTATTTATACGGAAAAATGTATGAAAGTGAACAGCCTGAATTTTAATCATGGAAGAGTTAAAAACCCTTGTCTTGTCACCATATCAGAATATGGCTTAAAAATCGTCAAAATTCTCTGTAAACCATTGTAAATAAAAGAATAGCCCAACAATAACCTCCACATACTTTCCCCTCTACAATCCAGTTTTCCATTGCACATGGCAGTCAGGCATGGTAGCTCATACATGGAGTCCAAACACCTGGGAGACCAAGTGAGGAAGACACATTATGGATTTGAGGCTAGCCCGGGTACCTTGTAAGACTCTGTCCCAAATACAGTAAAAAATAAAAATAAAAGTAGATAGAACCAGGTTATTCAAGCAATTTTTACAAACCTTTAATAATCTGTAGGCATCACGGTCCTGAGTCCAGGCTTCCCTTTTGGTTTCATTTCGATAAGACAGATACTTTCCTATAAATG